AGATATCAGATTGCTGGAAGTGAGGTGATCTAGGATGGCTCGCTTCAGAATGCGTTCCATCACCTTGCACGGCACGCTAGTGAGGCTTATAGGCCTATAGCTGCCAGGCGATAGTCGGTCACCAGTTTTGTATATTGGCGTGACAATCGCTTCCTTCCAAGCAGGGGGAAGGCGGCCTTCGTCAAGCGACTGAGAAACACCAAGTGTAAATGGTTTGCCAGTGTGGAGGACGTTTCTTTCACGATCCTTGGATGGACCTCGTCGGGCCCCGATGCGCAGAATGGGTTGATCTTGTGCAAGGGTTGACGAATGTCCTCCACTGTGAAGACCAAGTCGGTTAGATGCTGTTCGTAGTTTCTCCTTGACAATTGTGGATGTGACGAGGACGCTGGGGCTGAGTGTAGACACGCATAGTGTTCTCTGTAAGCCTCAGATACCACTGTTGGGTCATTAGTCGGTTCTCCGTTACTGTCCCTCAGGGAGAACGCGAATGGCTTGTTTCTGCGGCAAGGTCTCATGTACTTGAACAGTACGTTTTTGTTTTTTCGAGCGAGGTCCAGAATGGTGGCTTGTTTTCGTACGTTCCATTGGGGATTTCTGAATTTACAGCGGTTCCGCATTTTACGAAATGCCAGCTCATTTTCTGTTTCCCCTGTGGTCAACTTTTTGAAAAAGAGCTGGGATCTTTTTTCCAGAAGTCGCCGAATCCTTTTTGGCAGCTTGCGGTTCATCCGACTGCGTGCCGGTCTTCTTGGGACGAATGTCGCGTCAGCCTCGTGGACTTTCTGGACAATGGTCCTATATAGTTCTTCCACCGGAGCTGGTCTCAGTGTGACTTGTTCAAGGAAGATGCGCATTCCTGAGAAGTCTGCACGGCAGAAGTCTCGAAAACACGTTTGAGGTTTGGGATTTCTGGCCCAACAGCAGATGAAATCAAAGGTTAGCACACAGTGGTCGCTATACCCCAGTGGAGAGTTTTACCTTACCTGATCAACGAAGTGTCTTTCGTTGGTGATGACCAAATCCAAGAGGGATGGTAGTTGGCCTCTAACCAAAATGTTCTGAGGAGGATAAGAGGGATGGTAGTTGGCCTCTAACCAAAATGTTCTTCACTGAGGAGGATATTCGTAAACCTTTGCACAAAAGACTCCTTCATTGAATGGGGCTAGTCGAAGTCCATCAAAGGACTCTGAATGAAACGGCGCCCATATTTGCAGAGCAGTGTCGCTGGACGAAGGCAACCAACTTCCTCCGCAAAACTGGTGATTGTATATCGCTCAGCAGGAGCATACCTAATAAACTCACCAGATTGCCGTACGAGGTGATGAGAGCATTGTGTAGAGATCCAGCTTAAATTCTCCTGAGCCGATTTTGCTTGAAGAACATGCTCCTAATCATGTACAGCTTGAATGAAGTTTAGGACAATGGACTCATATAGAGTGCCATAATTTTTGAACATTCAAAATTACGACTGAGTCAAACATGTCTTACTGTCCCACAAACTCATGACTTACGGAATCCAAAAGTATTTCTACGCAGGATCAAGGCTTTCCTATCAGACAGAACATTCCGAGTTAGAGTAGACTCAACCCACTGTTCCCCGGTGCCGGTCTCCATTGAAGTTTCTCAAGGCTCTGCTTTGGGACCACTTCTGTTTCTGATGTATGTCAACAGTCTTCCATGCGTTCTTTCAGGGCAATGTCAACTATTCGGGTACGACTTAAAATCTTAGTGTTCAAATACCAGTTTCTTCCAAATGTACGTGAACGCTGCAAATCAGTAGCCGTTGGACAGTCATCTTCTAAATGACAAAAAGGAGTCCACATATTATTCGGAATAGACCCAGCAAGTGCCTCTGTTATGTATGGTGTGAATAGACCAGAAGACACTGTGAGGATAAATACCAACTGATTTATGTATCTGGCTCTCTTCAAACTGCTCTCTCACTGCACCATAAAAAATTGGCTCAAAAGGCATTCGACGTTCTACGGATGATTCGGCGCACCTTCCCCCGCATGGACTTCCAGGTACTTTACGGGGACTACGTCAGAACACTTCTTGAACATGACAACCAGATTTTCTGCCCTGAACACAAGGAAGAACTTACCCTTATTGAGAGCCTCCAAAATGCTGCTACGTGCATGTTAGCCATTCGCAAATCCGTCAATTATTAAATGCGTCTCGCGATACCTGGATTATTTCCCTTGGAATGTCATCGTCTCCGCGGAGGACTAATGCTTACTTACACCATGTTTGAACCGGACTTGGCCAACACGTTTTTCACCTTGGGGACGCGGCGGGGACATGACGAGAAGATTTTCAAGCTCGGAGCGTACAATTTGTCAAGCAACATTTTTCTTAGTTGGCTAGTTGGTGCGTGGAAAAACCTCATTCTAACGTTCGTTTAAGCTGCATCTAGTACTCACTTGAGATAACCTTTGGAGACCACTTTCGTTGAGTCACCGCTTTGACAAGATTTCCGCCTGGTGTCTAAAGCCTTTATTCACCTGTGTCTTTCAGGTAAACAGAAGCCGCTGAACGACGAGAACAAGGCGGACGCGAAAAATTTGGGTAAAAACCTGGATTATGTGTATTAATCCGAGATCCTATGAAGTCTTAGTGCCTATAATTAGTAGCACAAAATCACAAACGGCCCCGCTGCACTATCCAACCTATGATGACTCGACAAAATCTATTAATTTCGAGACGCTTTGCACTTCACATATAGAGCATTTAGTCACCAAGGTAACAAGCATATTAAGCGCTTGGACACGCAAAAATATTTCGGAGCACACATGTATAGTAAGGATATCCCGACCCATAGTTTGGAACTGCGCCGGTACGTTCGAAATCGGTTTCGTTTTTCCCTCGTGTAGATTTGTGGAAGATTTTTTCGTTGTTCAATCTATTCATAGAGTACGCACGAGTAATTGTTGAATTTTATTACTCTAACAAAACATTTGACTGATAACCCTTTATATTTTGCGCACACTTCCTATTTCACATCTAGTCCGAAATATGACATTAATTTATACCGATTGCCCTCAGCAACCGTTGATTGACCACAATAGATGTGGGCGAAATGGCTGGCCGTCGAACGTCAAACGCGGTAAGCAATGCCACACCCGCAAGGCCTGGTGGCATTTCAAATGCACGGGTTCACAGGACGACCAGATAAGCCGACTAGCTAACTCCCCTGACCCGTTTGTCTGTGCCAGCTGCCTCTACGTCAAGGGTGCAATGCATACCGCAGCGGAGAGAAGAGCCCCACGAAACGGTACCCAATCCCCAGTGCAGATTCCCAAAGACAACTGTCAGTGTTCCGCTTTAATCGGGACACTCGACGCGAAATTAGAGCGTCTTTCGAAGGCGTTGGAGGACTCAGGCGCTAAGAAT